CCCGCTTCCCGCCCTCGTGTGGGCCGAAGGGGGCGAACGGGCCGAGCGCCGCCGCGCGCCCCGGAACGGAGCCGCGCGCCCCGGAACGGAGCCGCCCCCGGCCTCGCTCCGGCGGCACGGCGCTGCAACGGGCCACAAACGGCGCCGGGAACGGTGTGTGAGCGTCTGGCGCCGAAACACGCAGTAAAGTGAAGTAGGTGGGAAACGGAGGGTGGGACGGAGGGGGGACCCGGCGGCCACCGCAGTTCAAGGCGACTCGCATGGCACCCGCAGGACCCCATTCTTTATTCTTTCCTTTAAAGAGCAACACCCGAAGCAGCCAAACAGTCACGACACTGTACAACAACATTGGGACTTTTCCTCTTTTAGAGAAAAAAAAAGGGGGGGGTGCTGCAGCTGTAATAAATAGAAGACGAGGCGAGACCTGACATGGAGCCCGTTTCCCCTGCCTCCCCGCCCCGTTCACCTGCCCTGGCCCGTGTGTTTCGCCTCCGCAGCTGCCTCCGGCTGCTCCTCGCGGCTGCTCCCACCTCCGCCACGTCCAGCGAGCAGCCTGGATGGTCACCCAAAGCGAGGGCTGGCTCTGCGCTGAGCCTAGCGCAGCAGCACTGCACACCCTTCTTTTCTCTGAAGGCTTGGGGAGTGTTTTTTGTTTGTTTCCAGTCCCAACAGACCAATGTCCTTCCCTCCTCCTCGCAGGGAGGCAGGGCTCTTCGTGCCTCCCTTCCAGCCCTGGTGGCAGCGAGGCCCGTGGGGAGGCCGGAGCGCGGGAGGCCGCGGCTCACGGGGCGCCCGCCCGGCGCTACCGCCACGCGCGGTTCAGCAGCTTCACCTGGGCCAGTCTCTTCGTGATCATGGTGGCAAAAACCAGGCCGAAGAGGACGCTGCTTATGAGCACGTAGTCGTAGTCATCTTTGAGGACGTCGAACTGCTTCGAGGGGTACACGCGGGTCTGGTAGATGTCCAGGCCATAGGCAACAACCTGCGGAGAGCGGAACGCGGGCTGGCAATGCCCTTTCGAGCAGGGGTACCCAAAAGGATGAGACAAGGGGTGACAGAGCAGGGAGCAGCCACTCGAGTGGAGGGACAGGCGCCCTGGCACCCGGCACTCACCAGACACGTGGACTCCAGGCCGGAGGGGGCCGTGTAAATCCCTCTCATCTGCGAGACCGTTTGGTTGTAGTTGATGAACCTCTCGGCGTGGATCTGCACGTCGGGGGAGTACGGAATCAGGTTCTCCTCTCTGAAAGGAATTGAGAGAGAAATCAAAGCAAGGGACATTTGCACCTCCGTTTTGGTTCCTAGGAAGCACAAGTCAGATTGTTCTGAACTAATGACCTAAACCATTAATTTAACAGCTTTTGCAACAAGTAGAAAACACACGTCAGCTAGATCAGCCTTCACTGCAGCAGGCTCCTCTTTGGGGTCTCAAGCTTTAAAAATAATCAAGTGTCATTCTAGAAACTTCAGTTACATAGACTCCAATTTCTAAAGCAGCAGACAACGCTTTTTTTCCCCCCTGTATAACATGCTGTATTACAGCTGAATTACACACAAATGTTTCCTGTCATCATAGATGGGCAACAAAGCAGCTCCCCCAAGCACCACAAAAGACTTGCCCCGAAGGTGTCCGTGAAAAGTTGCTTTACGACAGCACATTACACAGAAACTCATCACTCTAAAGGGTCCACTAACACTTTTCCTTACCTGCTCTGTTCTGTAGGGATTTCCGGACGGCGAGGATCCAGCAGAGCCTTTGGAAGGGAGAGGATGGCCCCAGAGGGAAGCCCAACTGCACGTTAAAAAGAGGCATCTTAAAACCAGCCTTCTCTGGCTGCATTTTCTAACAAATACAAATGCCGTTCCCGTTCTTGCATTTGACAGGAGTTCAGTGCTGCTCCAGAGCAGGCAGGATCTTGGGCAAAGGAAAGGCCTGTGGCTCAGCCTGGAGCACGATGCCCAGCTCGTGCAGGCGGCAGCAACCTCCAAGTACATTTGTGGGGAGCAGCGTGGCCTTACCGAGCAAGTGCCGGCTGGTGATGCCCCGCTCCGTGATGGTGGCCTCCATGGCGCTGATGGCAGATGGGAAGATGTAAGATTGCTGGAGGACCTGAGGCAAGAGCGGCCGGTCGAGGGAGCTGAAGGCCGTGGCGTTGTACTGCTCCGTGCCTTCGTACAGCTCCAGCACCGTGAACTCATTCCGACGTGCCTTCGTATTCCAGTACTGGTACTGGAACGACAGGAAAGCAGCCTTCAGGAACACAGGAGGAGCCAGGCCCGCAACACAGAGGTGGCAACAAATCACAGAAACGCCAGCAAGGATTTTGGGAACAGGTTCCACAACCGCCCCCACCTCCTAAGGATAAGAAGGAAGGTGACAGGAGTTCTTACCACCACCCAGTTCTCGGAGTGGACGATGTGGACGGGTCCCTTTGCTTTCTTCTGCACGGACGAGTGGATGATCCTGCCCGTGACCCCATCAATCAGATATATTCCAATGAAAGTGCGCTCCGGATGCGTGTCAGTGCTCTCCGTCACCACCGCAAGCAGGTTGGGATTCAAAGACTGCAACAACACACAAGGAAAAGCAGCTGAGACCCTCCACTTCAGTGCTAGAGGGACTGTAGTTATTTGCACTTTATCTTGGACCAGAGACGTGATGAACAAGGTATCTTATTAATATAAATCATGCGGAGCAATCCCTCCCAGCCTCAGCTGTTTGCCTGGTTTTCATGCAGGGACTGAAAACATTTTATATAAAAAAATCCACCAAAATTAACATCTTCCAGTGAAGATTCTGATTTTCTCAGGTTAGAGACAAGCGATGACTAGAAAAAAGTGACCTCCCAGGGAAAATATTTCGCACCAACAGTGCCTAAAGAAGGTAGAGGGATCTGGCAGTAAGCGAATGCATCAGCCACCCCCAGCTCCTAGGGCACCTTGTAGAGAACGCTGCGATCGCCCATGACGCGGCCCTGCGAGTGCACGTGCTCGTTGGATCTCTTCCCTTTCACAGTCACTATCCTCTGCACCTCCACGGGAATGATCACACCCCAGCTCTCCTCTGTTGTCAGGTCCTGCAAGAAACACAGGACTAGGGACTTAAGGACAAGCCTAAAGCCAGCTGAAATATTCACACTCCAAGCAAAACTCCCTACGACAAGTGCAAAGGTCTACTATTATCTATAGAACATATACCAAAATATCACTTGTCCTATAATGTTTCTTCCATACCTTTTTCAACCTGAACCCAGACAATTTTCCCTGATCAGCATCCACCAGATAAAAGAAGATAGAATGGGCTATTTCTTCCAGCTGACGAAGAACATTCTTAGTTGCAGGGAAAGCCATAACCTAGAAAAGAAGAATTGGAAATCACACTAAAGATGAACTGACAAACAGGAAAATAACAGCAACAATGCAGGTGAAGACACTTATTATGAAGTTTTACTAGAATAACTTTTTTTTTTAAGTGTAAATCTGTAACTATTTTTAATGTTATTCCAAAAAGGGGCCAGTAATTAACCTGAATATGAAGAATGCTGCCCGGGGGCCCAGCAATTTACCTTGTACTCGTCATCGATCAAGAGCAGCACTTTGGCATAGTCTTGGTCCATGATAGGCAGAAGCAAAGTCTGAAGGATTGGACGCTTCAGCACAGGCGGAGCGACCTGACTCCGCTTCCCAAAGATGGGGTTAAAGACATACAGAAAACTCATTTTGGTTTCCTAAAAAACAAACGAGACACACAACTTCTTGCAAAGCTGACAGAAGAGCTCTTTTTTTCCACCTGTTACCTACTAGTGTGGGCTATTCAGATCTTGGGTTCAACTACTCCAACCCTGAAAACCTGCCCTGTTTGAACACACATACCAAAGCGATCCCTCTGTTGAGGGACAGCAGAGCTATCAGTCAAAAAATTCCTTTTAAACACCCAGTTTTCCTGGCTGAGGCTGAACGGATTCAATGTTCAAAGCTCACCTTGTCCTTAACGAGCAGCGTGCACTGTGGCGGGTGCGGGAAATGGGCCGTCGTCCTCTGCACCATGAGCTTCAAGGTGGAACCGGCTCTCACGTTCCTGAGGTACTGCTTCCACAGGATGGTGCCCGAGCTGCTTTCAATACCGAAGAGCTGAGCAGGAGAGAGGACAGAATGGAGCCAGAGCCCACATCAACACAGCTTTTAGACTTAAATACTGTAATTTAAGCACTGCAGCTTGCACCGGTGCTGACAAGGAAAGAGGAGCCTTGGCTCTCTCCAATGCCACCACCAAACTCGCTGTGCATCTTTTAAAGACATTCTTTGCAGTTACAGGAAAAACTCCATGGTGGGACCCTTCCCTGTATCCTAGGGACATATCCCTATGCTCACCTTGCCTGAAGCTGTGACCATCACCATCATTTTCTGCAGGTTGAATTCATCTCTGGCCAAATTATCAATATTAATCTCGTTCTTAATCTGGCTCCGGGGTTTCCTGGCATCATAAAACATCTTCCAAAGATGGGCCATCCAGGCTTGCAGCAGGATAAGCTGGGAGGAGAGTCTCTTCAGGAACATCCCTAGCAAGCCATCTGCAAAGGGAACAGAAACAGCAAGAGAAGGCGGAAAATATTACATAAAGAATGGGAAAAGGGTTAGTTCCCACTCCCTAACTCAGTTACGGTTTAAAACAGCAAAGGCACCGTGGCTGTGCCTGAGCTTAGGAGAGCTCTTAGCTTCTGCCTTCCTCTCCAGAATAGCAGACCCACAGTTACCATTAGTTGCCATTATTGGAGAGGTTTTGGGGTTAACCATCCTCTTCCCTTCATGTAGCTCATTCCAAAAGCCACTCTCAGCAACTAAAAGCAAATGCTCTGCAGGAAGGCGTCATCTCTTCCTTCGTATTCCTTCTTTCTTGTTGGTGCATTCGGCAGTGCCCACCCAAAGCTAACTTGCTTTCACAAGGTCTCGAGCTCTAGTTGCACTCATTCCTCAGAGCAAAAATCAAGCAAGCAAGCAAGCAAATCTTAATTTTGCCCAATGAGGGTTTATATGCTTCTGTCAAGGAGCTAAACTCACCGCATTTAACTGTATTTCATTATCAAGAAAACAAGTAGCGAAAAGAAAAAGAGCAGCTAGAAAAATACTTATCAGCAAGATTAGGAAACACTGCACAGAGTCGCTGAGGTTACCTTGAATGGCTGCATCCAGGAGAGCAAGAAAAACAAAATAAAGCAAAGACAAAGGCTATTGCAGATGACTCTTTCAGAAAAGGCAGTAAGAGGATCTAAGGGAAATGTTTAGGATGGTTAGATTGGCATTGGACTTAAAAAAATGGACTTTACTGGGACAGAAACAGGTTTGTTTCAATCCTATTGATCAGCCAAGAGGGGAAATTTGAACCCAAACGGCCTAGGTCATGGCGGAGTGGAAAACTCTGTATTCATTCAGAGGAAAAAATAATCCGAAACTCACCTATTTATAGGTAACATCGTTAAATTTACAGCTTACCTGCTTTCTTTCCAAATTCTCCCTCCAGCTCGGCCTGTGCCCCTGTCAGAGGCAGATCCACCATCTCCAGGCTTACCACTTCTGCTAGGGACTCCTCCCTAGTCCACACAACCTTCCCTGCAAGGAAATACGAGTAGAATAGAGCAAAGCATAGCATAAACAACACAGGCATATTCCACACCTGCGTTATGTCCTCTGCCAAAACCAGCAAAAGCAACTGAACATCTCCTGAATTTAAACTCTGGAAACAGGTTTTCAGAAGCAAAAAATCTTTTTGCACTATAGAAAGTTGTTCCAATGGACCTTACAATGTAAATCACTGCAAAATACTGCGCCCCTATTTAACATAACGTGCCTTGGTATTTCACACATAGACTCTGGCAAATACTTTATTCAACTCGAGTCACTTCAAAAAACACAGGAACAGTGAGACCAAATAACCACCTGGAAAAGGCTGAAGCCATTAAAGCTGTTCTGAATGACACAGAGGCAGCATCAACTTCAGAAGGCCCATTCAGCCCTGAGGATTCAACTGGCCATGATGGGACTTTTCTGCAAACTAACATTTATGCCCTGGAGATCTTTTTCGAGGACAATTTAAGGATGATCTACAAGAGGCCTCTCATCCCAGAATGAGAGTTACAAAATCCAGAGAACTCCATGAAATTCAAAGGCTCCCCCTGCACAAACTTTTTCTGCCCAGTTGTGAGTGTGAAATGAGAGGGAATACAAGTTTCTGGTGCCCTTCGTGGGATGTAGCTCAAGCCTATCCTGTCTCGCTCAGTATCCTGCAGATTGCAACCATACCATTCCATTTTGCTGCTTCCCAAGGAAAGCAGTGTTAACATATGACAGGTTGGGACTGGGTTCCCTAACTCTGAAGAAGGCTCCTTGTCCTGTGGTGACCAAAGGGCCGGTTGAGCTGCTGGTGACGATTACCTGGCTGCTGGAGGAATATGAGCATGTGGTCCTCTGTTTGCACCAGGGCTCGATAGCCCACAGAGTCATCCTTCTTCAGAAACACCTGGATGTACAGCTGGGAAAAAAAAAGGTGCAAAAGAAGACTGAAACACCCTTTGAGAAACAACCCACAAGCCAAACAAGCAACACGGTTTGCCCGTGTGCACCACGGGGGTACCCAGCAGCAAGGAGCCCTTCCCCTGGCCTGAAGGGCTCTATCACTGCTGCCAAACTGGGGCATGGAGAGCAGGACAAGCTCCCCGCTCACCTGCTCCGGCTTGGCACCGCCTTGATCCAGGCTGAAGGTAATTGTAGTATCCAACAACCTTTGGCCAGTTTCAACCAGATAGAGATTAATGTTGTAGGTGTGATTGGAACAAGTTAAGGATTCCTAAAAACAAAAAACACCAAGCTAAACGCACATGTCACACCGAATTCCACATGAAAGATCCTCCAAAAACATCCATCTCCAAAACCTTGGTATGATTCCTTTTTCATTCTGTTTCCACATGTGAATGAAAAAATGGACTATGGATCATCAAGAATTTCTGTTCCTCTTTGGAACAAGCTCATTTGATACCTGTTTCTGGGAATCCTCCACAGTGCTTCCATCTTGAAGGCCATCAGAGCTTCCAGGTTTCTGCAGGGAGGGTAAGAAGAGATTATAGGGATTGGGAGCCCAGTGAAAGTATGGAAAAAATGGTGCTTTGAGTGCCAACCTACAGAAAGCTCTATCCCTAGTCCTAGCTCTAAACACAGCCCAGAGACATTCTGAAAAAGTTGAAAACTTGCCAAGTTCAATAGCACTAAGATCAAAGATCCTCCAAGGACAGATAGAGCATATTCATAGGTTACACACAAGCACAAGGCTGAAAGAGGCTGTGCTCAGGACAGCAAGTTTCATGCAGCTAGAGGTAACTTTAGCTGGACATAGTCAATATCTGCTTGAATTGTCCTCGTATGTGTGAGAAACTACATCTTTCTCAAGAAACATCTCTGGCTCTGCAAAGGGAAACACTTGGGCACGTGTCCGTGTTACAGGACTGCTGGTCACGTAGTACAAAGAAGCAGTTCTCACCAGTTCACTCCTGCAGGTCAGGACAGCAGCCACAGTTTTCTCCCCAGTCGTTGCAAAACTTACCAGAGCTGCCTGCAAAAAAAACCCCAATATTTATATACATATATATTTGGAAAGCTTAAAGCCAACAGAAGCAAAAAAAATTACCCACGCAGGAAATCAAGCCCCACTGAAACTAACACTGGTTCCTCTACAGCTAAATTCCAAGTTTTGTCATCTCACCAAAGATCAAATTTCACCTCTTCAAAGACTAAGGAAGAGTTCTTGTGAAGAAGTAAACGTTTGACCTGCACAAGCTTTTGAAACCCAACCTCTAGTACTACATTAGTGAATGCATGAAGGTTTTTCTCCTTTCAAAATGTCACAGCTGTTTTAACAAAAGCACTGCTGTGTCACTGGTCACACACACGTACATGTCTCTGTCCAGCTCCAACACAGATTTCCCCCACGCTAACAGCTGTCAGCAACAAAACATGCCCAAACTATCTGAAAATACTTTAATGTACAAATGAGACCAAAGTTTTCAAATATTGTGTCAGGAAGCACAATGGAAACAGGAATCTCAGCTGGTTTTTCACACAGCTTAGGGGGACGGGGAGCTGTTCCCAGGCTTTCTAAGCTACAGGGGCTCTTTCAGGGAGCGGTTGTGCACTTGCCGTTACCTGCGGGAGGTCGCGGAGGTGGCTGAGCAGCCCGTGCCTGAACTGCAGCAGGACGAAGCGGCTGGGCGAGAGCTGCAGCAGGAACTGCGGCCGCGAGGCGCCCACGGGGCTGGGCTGCGTGGCCACGATCTTGGGCTCGAAGTCGGTGGCCAACTCCACATCGAGTGACTGAGAGAGAGAGAGGAGCACGTTTGTCCCAGGAAACGCCTCCAGGGAACCCAGGAGCTTCCTTTTACAACAAGTGATACACACACTACAAAGAGGTTGCCCACACCAGGATAATCATGGAATAGGGGCCAGGAAGCTCTGCTAACGCTGCAGCAAAGCCCTGCACACAAACACTTGGCCACGTTTAGTCGGCCCACGCTCAGCGAGCAGCGCTCACCTCCATGGGGATCTGCTTCATGTCCGTGTCGGAGCCCAGGGCGCCGAGGTGCAGCGAGCGCGTCTCCCCGTGCGCGCACACCAGCACGGCCTCCCCGACGAGGCCACACGCGCCGCTCAGGCTCCTCAGCCACGGCGCGGCTACTCTTGTCTGCGGGGGACACACAAGGTCGGCAACAGCTTAAACAGCTTCAAAACCCGACGCGGTCACGAAGATAGCTAAGCCAGACATATTTGCTACCCAGGACCCAGGGATACCATCTGCCAGGGTGAAATTTCTGCCAGATGCAAATCTTTCGCTTTCAGGGTGTTCAACAGTAGAAATTTATTTCCTGGCAATGCCACAGTGAAAGTTTAGTCTCTACTATGATAACTAATTGCTCTGTGATCACTCCACAGCTACAGAGCTAGCAGGACACTCAGGAAAATCAGAGCCACCCTTACAACAAACCAAGCATTTTGAATCCACATTCGAGCACTACCTGTTTCATCATTTCTCCATCCTCTACGCTGAAGGTCAGAACATTCAAGTGGCTCTGAGGAACAATTCCAAGCACGTGGATCACTCCAGTCCCGTGGGAATACAATAGCTGGTACTGCACGCTCTCACTGCAAGAGAAGGGGCTGCTGTGAAGAACCGTCTTCGACTGTTGCTCAGGGCTGCACTCCAGCTGCTCAGAACCGCACTCAGGCTGCACTATCCCGGGACTCTGAGGAATGAGCGGCTCCACTCCCCGCTTCCTTGTTCTAAAACCTTCCTGTCTGTCAGCACAAACGGGTCACGGACACCTCGCCTTCAGGCACTGCTTTCTGCAGTGAGAGACAGGAAGATGACAAACTGGTAGTGAATTTCCTCCCCCTTCCCTTACAGTCTCTCCAATATCGCTTTCTATACTATTAAAAAAAAAAATAACAGCTTGTGCTTTCAGCAAGAAGAACCTCTGATTTTTTTTGGAAAAGCATTCCTTTGGCAACGCTCCCAAAACACTTGCAAGTCCTCTCCCTCTTCCTTCTGCTTTACCCTTTCAGGAAGGTAAATACCCGCTCCACTCAGGACTGCAGAGAGCTGCACAAGTGAGAAGGAAGCTCCCCATCCTCTCCTCCTCCTCCTCAAGAGACCAGGCTCCGCGTCAGCTACCGAAGCTTATGCTCAAAATGATGATTTTTACCTTTCTGGTAAGTGCTCTGCCCATTTCTGGTGCCCATTGGAGAGGTAGTGGAGAGAGATGGCCGCTTTCTTCAGGACCGCCACGTACTTCACAGCGTCCTGCAGCCCCACCAGTGCCGCCATCTGGAAACTGAGCACAGGCCGGGACAGACAGCGCGTGAGGAAAGGATGACGACCAAGGACACGCTCTGTATGGAGAATCCCTGCAAATGTTCCAGAGGAAGCTGCGAATACCCTTCCTTTCCTATCCCTAGTGGTGTCAACAAAAGCTTAGGCTGGAAGAAAATACCTCCAGTTGAAGTGGTACCTTCCACATTTAACATGTTTTATACCAGGCAAGAAAATCTACCTAGGAAATCCCCCCAAATGCATCTGCTTATTTTAGAGGCCCCACATGTGATGAGCGTGTCCCGGAACGCAGCTGCTCCTCGCTCCGACAGCGCCTGCGCCCACCTGCCCGTATCCAGCGGCGTCTCCCAGTTCAGGCCCCCGATGTTGGTCTCCCAGGAGCGGAGGATGCGCCCGCCGCTGGACACCGTGATGGCATCTGCGCACGAGGCGAACAGAAGAGAGCACAGACGGCGGGATTGTCTGTTTTGGCCCATTTAACAGTTGTGCCAACATTACGAGGCCGGAATCCCGCGCGCAGAGGCAGGCACCGACACCGAGGGGCACCTGACGCCCTCCTTACCCTGCCCGTGGATCAGCATCGCGTCCACTGCTCCTTCGGGGGTCCCCTTGTCCACGTGGCGCCACACTGGAAGCACAGCGAGTGAAGTAAGGAACGGACCTGCTTCCCCAACGGCTGCTGCTCCTTACTAGAGCTAGGCCTAGGCTTTGTCTAGGAGGAGCGCCTGCAGAGCGCAGGCGTCTGCGAGGAACGGGCTGTGGAGCCGCGGGCTCGCAGAGCAGCCTGGGCGCCCTCAACCTCACGGGACGGGGACGCGGCGGCGCTGTCGCCGTAGCAGGCGCGTCCCCTCGGGGGACACGCGACCCCGGCCCGCTCACCGATGTCGCCGCTCCTGGCGTTCAGCGCGGCCACCACGTTCTTCTCCGTGGCCACCAGCAGCTTCTTGGAGCCCTGCGAGGCCTCCAGCGAGGCGAACTTGAGCTTGCCCACGTACTGCTGCCGCCTGCGGAGGGAAGGGCGCTCAGGCGCGAGGGGCGGGCGGCGGGGCGCGGACAAGGGGGGACAGGCGGGGAGGCCGCGC